TGATCCAAATATCTCATATAGCTATTTATTTAAAGAAGGCATGTAAGCTTAGAAGCAGCTCTGCAGGTTCCTGAAGAATGAGAAACATATTCACATGAGCCCCAGCTGTTTTGCATTTTTTCACATTCTTCTTCGAGGCAAGGGGATAAGCATGCTTTGTGTGCATTTCTTTTTTATTTGTGTTTCTTTACAGAAAGTAAATATCTTTAATTTAGTAATAAAAGCAGAATCAAACATGTTGTCACACTATTTTCCTACATTAGTACAAAATAAAAAAATAAATTCTCTACAATATTTTTATTATATCAGCAATCTAAAACAAACAATTATGAAAATGATAAACAAAATGTAATAAAACAAAAGATTAAAGCTATTTTGGCATTATCATGCCAGAATAACACCAAATACGAACCTTCTGTTTGTCCATTTATTGACTTGTTTACTTAAATATGAATGAATTCAATTAATAATAATTTAAATAATTAAATAATAAATGGAAGTTAAAAAACAAAACAAAATAAAACACGTTCCTCCAGTGCCACAACAGCAAAAGCACTACAAATGGTGAAGTAAAATATATCCAAGAAAAAATGGAAAATTTCTAAACAAAGGGTACATGGATGAACCCTGAATTTCAGGTATTTACTGAGGAAAAAGTCAACAACATGCTTCAGGGAGCAGAGACAAAACATTCTGTATTAAATACTGTTAGCTCAGAAGAGACAGAAGTGTAACAGTTAGCAGAAGTAATCAAGATTAATAAACCCACAGATCCAAATGAAAAATATTATACTTTACTCGCTCCCTATTTGATAACTACTCATTTAAATCATTGGTGGTGACAAAAACTGTTGTTGAGCGTATCTTTTGGGCCCACAACCTTTGAATAGCTGCTTTATTACCTTTCAGATTGAAGCAAGATGATTTAGTAGAAATTCCTTTAACGGACAACACAAGTGCAAACTACAGTAGCTATTTGGTATAATCATGCTTTTTTGGATGCATGGTCTTGATCGGATGAAAGAATTCCAGTACTGAGCAGTGAAATACAGAGAGTGAAATGTTTAGATGCTGATTTGTCTTCAGAAAAACTGAAAACATAATCCACCTATCTGTGAAAAGGGATATGATAATACTTCCCGTGATCTCCTGGTGGAACCATGTTGGAACACCTCTACTCATATAATTGTCAAAAACAATCTACTGTACCTAACCATGTTTACTAACCAGATACCCTGGCTTCCTTCATGCAGCTGGATGAGATCCACATATCATGTAGTTACATCTGAACAATCTAGATTGGACAAATGGCATTCTCTTGTTTGTAACTTCTCATAATTCAAATTCTGACAATTCAAATGCCATTCATACTTCTAATGTGATGCAGCCTATTCTCCTCTACGCAATGGCTTGCCACAATACACATATTTAACTGTAAATGTGTTTATTTTCCATTTTAAAAACCTGACAAATTAACCTTTTTAAAGAGACTAAACATGTAGGTTTGCAGTGTTGAAGACTATTTTACTGGCAGCTATGGCAGTCTCATTGTTGTCATGGCAATGCTAGTTTAGAAACTCAGGTACTGTACCTGACAGGCAGTCTGGACTTTGTTTACAGAAATAAACCTTTCTCAAGAGTTAGTGCTGTTAGGCAATTAAGAGCTAATTAAATTGACCAGACATGAAGGGCTGCATGAGCAATGGTTCTCATTTTGTTTTTCGTGTAAATGAACAAATAGCTGGCCTATTTGTTTACATTTCTGTTTGCACTATGTGTGTTCATCACTTCCTAAAGTCCTTAACAGTTTATCAAGGCCATTGCAAGGCAGATGGCGTTCCATTAAAATTAGATTAAAACGGAAAAGAATCAGTATTCTCCTGCATTCCCAATTTTGCAAAAGACGTATGCATTCTTTTAAAAGAGCGTCCTCTGATTTCATTCCTGCCAACATCTAAGAGCTTTTTTATTTTTTTACAAGAAAAGTGCCTGTTTCAATAAGAGATACACGAGAGATGAAAGCTATTTTGGTATTATCATGTAAGAATGACACCAAATATTATCTTTTGATTCATTTATTTGTTTGACTTGTTTACTTATTTATGGGGGTTAAATAATGAAAGGAAGCTAAAATAAGACGTTTTGGAAATGGGAGGAAATCGGAAGTATCTAAACAAAGGGGACAAGGATGAACCTTGATTTTCAGGTATTTACTGAGGAAGAAGTCAACAACATGCTTCAAGGAGCAGAAACAAAAAGTTTTGTACTAAATACTGTTAGCTCAGAGGAGACAGAAGTGCAATGGGTAGCAGAAGCAATCAAGATTAGTAAGGACCCAAGGTCCTCTGGATATCTTACTAGTTGTAGTGAAGGAAACAAGAAATGCTATCCAGAGTTAAAAATGACCAAAAAGACTAGAGTCTTGGCCTTCTCTCTTTTATTACCATACTTATGTTCTTAGTCATTGATTCAACTCTTCCATAAGTTGCTCATGGCAGGGGTAATACCCAGGGACTGGAAGATTGATAATGTAGTGCACCAGAGTAAAGGTCACAAAACTGAACTACAGTAAGTAATTGCAGACTGACAGGACTGACATCTACTGCATGTAAGGTTTTGGGAACAATAATTACAACTAAAACAGTGCATTAACTATATGGATATATTGAACATAGATTAAGAAAATATAGGTCTTGCTTAAGAAACATGTTTAACGGTTTTCTGAACAAGAAATAGCTGTAATGGATAAACACAAAGATTAATTTTCAAAATGCAGGAGGTAGGCTTTCAGGGAAACACAAGTGTTAGGACTGAGAATAAGCTATGACACAGAAAAACAGGGGTACAGATAAGGTGTGAATATTGACATTGGGTGATGTAATTTGTGGAGTACCACAGGGATCTGTACTGAGATCATTGCTATTTTTAATTTATATTTATTTATCATTATGAGTGATTTAGATTCCGGTATATTAAGCGATCATACAGTATACAGTAGTTAGAGATTTAAAACTGAGAACAGGAAGTACTTCTTGACCAGAAGGATTGTGGAAGGATGGATTCTCCCTCACACATCTGTGGTTAGTAGTGATTGTGAGTCTCTATTGAAATCTGACACTGGACATTAATGAACTTCATTAAAAAGGGTTATTCAGGTAAAAGATAAATGCAGATACTATAGCTTTTACAGAAGGTGAAAAGGTTTCTGGACTATTGAGTCATTCCCAGCAGCTGCCTATTTCTCAAAACTGCAAGATTAGGTTGTAGGTGTATTCAGTTCTGCAAAATCCAATTAAGTACATACAACCAATAAAAAAAAAACTAATCTATGACACTGTTACCAACATGCTTTCCAAGCTAGTTATATACATCTACAGTATTTCTTCTTGATTGGGTCTAAGCACTATTCCAATATACAGTAGCTACTGTATGTACTTCTCTCTAGGAGTAAATTATTAAGGTTTGATTAACTATGATCTTTATTACATTTGCAGTATTACATATGCATAATCATAAAGAAAAAAATCAGCTATAATTTCAGGCTTGTAATTTGTCATCTGCATTTCCTCATACAGATTGAAGTTGTCACATGATCATTATTGGTTCTATGATTTACAAAGATGAGCTCTTTCACACTGTCCCATTTTCAACTCCGTTTTGCCACATACCCTGTGGCATATAGGATGAGGGGCGGCGCAAAGGAAATGTACTGTAAGACATTTGCACTTATTGTACATTCCTTCAGTGGTTCCTTATTATAAAATGTGAGGTAGAAGGACATTTTTAGCATGAAGGCCATGAGAAAAGATAAGATAAAATGCACCTGCAGAGCGGTGAATGTGTTTTAACCAGAGTTTACCTGGCTAAGATAATGAAAGAGTTCTCGGTTCAATGAGAACTGCTGCAGGTGTTTTCAGATTTTCCATTGACGTTTTCAGTTTTGTATGAACTTTCAGTACGTAACTGTAAATTATATTGTGAGAACATTTAGGTATCTATGCTGAAAAGCAGAAAGAAATACAGAAAGACAAAATTACAGTATGTGTGAAGAAGTTGCAAAGCTACACTTTTTTTTCTTTATTTTACTTTTACAGAGTGAAATTAAACTCTACTTAACCCTTTTCAGCTTGCACCCAGACGCAGCTACAGTACATGCAGTATAAAGAACCTACCATATGTAGGTTTAGGTTTTAAAATAGCCTTATGTTGAAAGATAATGCATAAACAATAATTACATTCAGTTTTACAATAAATTGCACAATCAGACACATACTGTATTTATAATAAGAGAAAAAAATACCAACAAAACATATACATGCATTTTGAAATTCCTATCTGCAATCACACACAAAACACTACCCACCCACCAAATACTTTTAAAAGTATCCAGCATGTGAAACAATTTATTAAAAGTACACTTAACACAGAATGTTGAAGAAGTCATTGCTTTAAAGATTGCTACAATGTCTCAAGTGAGTGTTTTCAATATTTTTTGGTCTGACCTCTCTGTAAGACGTTAGATACTGTAGTTATGTGTTAAATGAAAATTAATATATATATTACATACAGTAGTTAATGAAACATATACTGTATATTGTAGTACATCTCTGCAAACTCAATGCAGCAATTATTTTGCAAATGTTTTTTTTTAATTATTCACACAAAACTTTAATGTCACAAAGTTATGAATTATTTTCTTCATATCTTTAAAAAAGACAATTAAAAACCACTGTAGTAAAATTTTATCACCCTTTAATGATCTTCGCTGATTATTATCTTCCAAAAAATAAAAAATATAAATCTTTTATATAAATATATTTCATGTATGCATTAGTTTGTGAAAACACATACTGTATGTGTTGATTTTTTTTTAAACGAAAATAGCCTTGGCAATTTTCTGTTTTACCAATTAAACCCCAAATCTTATCAGCCAGCACCCTACAGATAAGAGCAACTATTTATATAAGTGCTGTGCTACTGTATGTGCAACTTCACAGCAGGAAAGCAATCAGAATGATCCCAATTGTGCTGGCTTCGGTTCTCTTTGCAAGCGGTAAGGGTGAAGATATAATAGGAAGCATTGTGTATAGACTACTTTTTATTTATTTTTTCCCGTTTGATTCAAAATGTCCAAAGAATTTCTCATGGCTTTAAAGATTTATTTTCTATACTTTGTTAAATGTAGCATTTTTTCCTCTGCAATAAATAATTACTGCGGCAAGTGCCATTAAACTAACAAGCTCATTTAATTGACCTTTGTGGTGTGTTTATAGTTTTTAGAGGAGGTCGAACAGCAGTGTTCAACTTAATGTCTGAAAAAGAAAAGGAAGTTTTTTTATGTTTTAAAGAAGCTTATATTTAAAAAACATATTTCTGGACCTTGTCAGAAACAGGTCTTTTTCAGCTGCGTAAAAATTAAACAAAACTATACAATAAAGCTTCCTAATAGAATGCAATGGATTACAAAACCCAAATTCTGTGTATGATTCAAGTACACGGTATATACAGTATGTGTTATACTGTTCACATGTTTAAATAAGTATTGATTTCTGTTTTTCGATTATTGAAAAGATTCAAGCCCTGAACTACAAAACCACGTACTGTAGCTTATAAATGTTACTTAATTTCTGAAACTTTCACAGGGCCTTCAGTTGCATTATAATTCATGAATTGCTTGATACTGTACAAAGGCAAATGATAAAGCTACCTAAAAACAGAATAATCCAGTATGCTCTGTGTTAGATCAGTGTGTGTTTCATTACGGAAAATTGTACAGTTCAAGCACTTCAGCGGTAGGGTTCAATAGTGTTGAATTGTCTTCCAATTGTAAATATTTTGCTTTTGGGGTCATAATTGTCGCTAATTTTCTATATTACCAAAATGGAGGCAGCACACCGACATCAAATCAATAGAGCTACCATATCTGGCACATTCAGTGAGGAAGTTTGTTAGACAGTCCAGGGACTCCAGGAAGACCATCAGTGGGGTTTGACATGTGATGTCTCTGTGGCTCCTCTGCAGCCTATGGGTGCGGCGTGCCTTCCATTGAGCCTATGGTGTCGAGAGTGGTGAACGGACAGGATGCCCGACCATACAGCTGGCCTTGGCAGGTAGAGCACTGTCTGCCATCTCGTGTTTTTTTTTATTTTGTCTCTTGTTTGGCTCTTGGAAAGTTCTACAAATTTTTATTCTTTTTGCCAGACACATTTTCTTTGTGGGTTAATGGCCCATTTAATTAACCCTGTAATGAAGGGGAGTTGTCACCTACAGAGTTGAGACGTTTTAATTCAAAATGCTTGTTTTTTTAGTGCATTACATTGCTTTATTGTTCTCTGTGACATATTTGTTTTGTCTTGTGTTATGTTAGTGAACTGAATCGCTTATTTAATACCCATACTATTTTGAGGCATTGATTTTCCAGACTTCTGAGCACCAGGTGGTTATACTTTGAAAGGAGAAAGTGATATTGTGTTTTGACTGTGTCCACAGAGATTTTGTCATTTCAAATACAGGATATACAGTATCTTTCAACACACCCCACAGTTTAAGTTGTCAAACACACAATAGGTATAAGATAAAGAGAGTTTGTAAAACTGGGTTTTTCCTATAAGCCTTTGAATTGAGAGAGGGAACATTTTAAGTGTAATTTAGTTTACATAAATTGCTCTGATAATACAGTATACATTTATAGATTTAGAATGTCCCTTTAAAACAAGCTTTAATAATAAAAATATAAATGTATTTCCCTATGATTCTTTTAACACTGCAAAAAATTTTGTTTAGTCATATCTTAATTCTAATGTACTCTATTTAGGCTAAAGCCTAATTAAACTAATAGATTAATGCACAGCAGGTAGATGTGATTTGAGGTATAGCTGGGTAATTCAAGAAGAACACACTGAGTCAGAATACTCTTGCACACAACTTGTTTTTACCCTGCTCTCCAGATTTCCCTACAATACCTGAAAAATGATGAATGGAGGCACACCTGTGGAGGCTCCTTGATTGCCACCAATTGGGTCATGACTGCCGCTCACTGTATCAAGTAAGTAGGAGCACATAATCAATCCGATGATGATTCTTCAAACACAATGCATGGCATTAGAAAAGGTATTGACAATATCTAGTAATGCAACACACTACACACTTAAATTAACTTAAACACGGTGGTATATTTGCATGGGGTATCCTGTCATAACTCTTCACAAGTGAAGCCTTCAGAGGTTGATGACTTGGCATTAGAGTCAGATTCTAAGTTCTACCCAGCAACATTCAAAGGTCGGTATATTCAGACACCAAATTAAGTACGTTGTGTTGGGTGTTTTGTGAAAAGCGTGCAGAGCTGAATGACGGTTGTGCAATGTTATTCAGAGCATCAATGAAATAGGTTAAATTATCTTATCCTCTAAAGACATAAAGAGGGTTTTGGTGACGATATAATGTAGAGACCCATAATCTAACACCCATAACCTGACACAGTCCAATTCCTAGAGTCCAAGTCTAGAGCACCCAATTTAATACCATCTTGTAAAAGTTATGGTAAACCTTTATATAATAGTGCCAACTTTGCAAACATTTAGCATTTCTAAAGGACAGTAGTATTTATATTTGAATTCAGAGTTCTGGGGTCCTATAGTTTGAATGACTTAAATGATTTCATTGCCTTTATTAGTCTGCAACATACCGTACTAGCACTGTTTCCAAGCGTTAAACCCTCAAGGAAATAGATACCTTTAAAAACTGCATGACTCTGGCCCTCCTTAACAGCAAGTGTGTAACACTGCTAAATCACTTTCTCATTTCTGTAGTTTCAATCCTGGCACGTTTCAGGAAAACCAGAATGTTAACACAAAATATTCATAGCTAGTCGCAACAATAAAAGTCTATTAATTAGTTAACATGTATTATACTTTTCTGTAAATTACAATTGATTTGTTTTCTGGATGCATACGAACCTTGGCTTTAGAAAGCATTCCATATATTTAAATTAAAAAGTTTACAAATAAAGAGCTTTTTACTATTTCATATTCAATTTATTACATTAAGCCTAAGTGATCCAAATACTTCATTTCATAGGATATATATCATCATGTCTGCTGGATATGCATGCATAATTACTTTGCAATAAGCAATACCTCCCTTCAATTAATCCTTTTTAGAATGATGAACTGCTTCAATCTGGAACAGTTAAATAGAAGCTGCCATCAGGTGGTTATTTCTAATGAGATCTTGACAGCATGTCCCCTTCACACATTCCAGTGGACAGCTGTGCAAACATCTTGCATACAAACAGACTGCTGGGCTTTTTCCTTTGGTATAGCACATGCACTGTGAGATGCAAAAACAACAGCAGGACAGTGTGAATACAAATTAAACAGAAACAAAACAGAGTAAAGCTGAATGTTGTTTCTAATGGTGGCATGCTAAAATGATTAACAAAATACAACATATTAATCAATATTTATTTTCTTACAGGCCCACAGTGAATGGGCAATTACTGGAGGAGAGATACAGCTCTCACTACAAACACTGTAACTTTTCAGGCAACTTCACATCTGGCTAGTAGTGAAGTAATGATGTCTGTACCAACAGTCTGAACCTGCGAAAAGAGCAGGTTCCTACAGTCTATTGGCCAATCAATTTAATCAAATGTTAACTGTGAAGGTTTAGTTTGCTTCTGTAAGTTGAAATTAATATACAGCTTCTTATATTGCAGGAAAAGTGTAATAGGGAGGACAAATATCAAAAGAATTAAAATGATCACGCAAAATCTAAACGATTTAGTGATATTTTATGTATCTGGCAAATCACACACATGCACATACTTTACATACTCACACACTTGTTTAGCCTTTCAGTGCTCCTTAGTGTTCTAGACCTCCAGAGAACAGTTTTGCCTGAAATGATGTCTCCTTCACTATTTTGAAATAACTTGTAAATATAGTATGTACAGTAGAGGCCTAGATCAGGGCTTTTATTGAATTTTACCACTGATATGTTTTTAGAATCTGGACAGGTACAGAATATTCACACAGAGTGTACTGTGTATACACGACATTTCAGCAAAACCAATGCAAAAATCGAATTATTCATTTCATCCATGCTATTATTTCTGCAGCTATGTAATTTCTTACAGAGGACATCACTGACAATTTAGAAAAATATTGCTAGTTTTGTAAGTAGCCATTGACAGAATAAAACATACCCAAATACTGGATACCCATATCTTAAGATACCATATTTCTGGTAATACATTTGTATAGTGAACATTACACATTACATTCTTTATTATCATCATGGTGATGCTAATAATAATAATGATAATAATAATAGTAACAATAATAATAATTAAACTAAATAATAATACATAATTTAAAGAAATAATAATAACAACAATAATAATTGTATTTTGCAGCAAGGCCTTAACCTACAGAGTGGTAGTTGGGAAGTACAATCTTTTGATGGATGAACCTGGATCCAAGGCTATCATGGCAGATCAGATGTTTGTGCATGAGAAGTGGAATCCCATTCTGGTGGCTTTGGGGTAAGAGCTGTCAGGTGCCTAAATTATACAGTAAAACAAATGCCTGAGCTCCATGTGAGCTACTGACTTATTTATTCAGGTCTCTGACTGTCATCACTGGGTGGCTAAGCTGTATCGATATGTACAGTATTAATATTGATAGATTAATTAATATAGATCAGAAATGATCACATGAATAACTGTTTTATCTCAACTGATTGGATGCCCGAGGGCAGCTAAGCTCATTCCCCGCAGCTTTCTGGACAATGTGTTCAAACAAGGCCTCCATCTTAAATTAAGCTACTGCCCTCTCACTTGAAGTTGACATTATAGTGTCTGCCAAACTGTTTTTTTTTTCTAATGAAAGAACATATTTGTTGACAGCATACTTGGATGCACAGTAAACCCAATCAAGAATGTATATTAGAGTTAGAGTGAAATCAAAGAGACAGCATGCTGAAACACATCCACAAATGTATCCATGTTATACCTAAGAGTGACACGTAACATTTAAAAATCTCTCTTTAAAAGGAATGACATTGCTCTGATCAAACTTGCTGAGCACGTTACGCTTAGTGACCATATCCAGCTGGCCTGCATCCCCCCGTCTGGGGACATCTTACCCAACAACTACCCCTGCTACATCACTGGCTGGGGCAGGCTCTACAGTAAGACCAATTTCATTATCATTATCTCTTTATCTTTGTCTTCAGTACTGTATGGCCTCACAGCTATAATGTGAATATCCCTCATTCTCATTACAGCTTATTAATGAGAGCACATTTTAATTATACCTTGATCTCAGTGAGCGAAAGACAATAAAATAATTAAAAGCTCACTGTATTGCAATTATAGTAGAATTAGCTTTTTATGCTAATACGATGGTATTAAAGGTTAACAGCATCGGTGAAAATTGATTACATTTCTTCTTAGATTCCAAAAACAAAATATAAGACATTAAAATAAAAAGAGAAGAAAACATGAATAATTCACTACTGTACATATCCTTCTATTCATCCATTTTCTTTAACTGCTTTATCCTTAGAGAGATGTATTGAACTGGAGCATAAACTGTCAGATGCAGAGCACCAGCAGGACTACATCTTAGACAAAACACCAGTCCATTACAGGACACATACAAATATCCATACAAGGGGCAATTGAGAAATGACAGTTAAAGTAGGCAGCATGTTTTGGGACTGGGGGGGAGGAATCTATAGAGTAGTTGAAATCACATGTGAACACTGGGGAACACTGGACAGATCACAGTGAGTACCCCTAGAGCTGTGAAGCCACTTTGCTTCATATTAAAAAGAGGTGGAGTGTGAAAAACAGCTCACATTTCAGCATTTCAGCTCACTTGCAGAGATCCAAAGAAGAGAACGTAAAGCTCAACATTTTGCACAACTGTGGTCATGCTCTGTTTCAGCTAACGGCCCCATTGCTGACAATCTGCAGCAGGCCCTGATGCCCGTGGTGGACCACGCCACCTGCTCTCAGCCTGACTGGTGGGGCATTGCCCTGAGAACCACCATGGTCTGTGCTGGTGGTGATGGCATTGTAGCTGGTTGCAATGTAAGTCTGTGCAGAGTCTGACACCTGAAGAAGGCCCCACGGCCAAAACGTTGTGTTTTCTTTCTTCTTTTTTTCAGCATGGAATAAACCTTTTACTTGTTCCTTTGCAGCCTACGCATGCTGACACAGCTAACCACCTGAACTACTTGTAGAACCTAGACAACAATGTGCCAATTCAATTATCTAATTATTTATAACAAGGTGCCACAATTCACCACAGGTCATCTCCCAAGAACTTAATAAGATATCGTCAGTTATTAGGTCATCTACAGCCTAAGTGTCACATTCTCATCTCAATAAAAGTTGGTGCTGCATGGCATGCATTAAAATTTGCAGGCAGATTAAGTTTAGTGACTACAAGTGGACTTCTGTAGTGACAAGACACTCCTTCTGAGACCATAACACTTGGACTTCCCCATTGTTTGCTCTGTTCTACTCAAACTGAGGTGATTCCAGAAAAGCTCTAAAAATATCTAGCACAACCTTTCAGAAACAGTGACACAGTATTACTGTAGGGATAACACTTGGCCTTAATGCACAAAAAAGACAATGTAGAAATAATAGTCATTTAAAGAAAACTTCTTACCAGATGCTTAATCATAACAGAGCACCCATTTTATCAGACAAACAGCCCAGAGCAGTTCTGTGCTGGTGTGTGCTGGGGGAAGGCAGACAGTTAGTTGGCTCCTTTACCACTTGAGAAACAGTTCTGCATCTGCAGCTGTACCGGCATTTCAACAGCTTGTGACTGTGGTCTGAACTACTGCCAGTAACATTAACTGTGAGAATCCCAGCTCTCGAGATAAAAATAGGGAACACTAGAGTAGAGTGATTGTGCAATTTTCCTTTATTATGCTTGTTGTGTTATGAATACTGCAAATGTAATATTATTAGTAGTATTATGATCATTAGTATACTCATTAACAACCCATATGCTAAAGATCTCTTTAATAATAAGGATTAGCTAGATAAAGACATGGAATGAAATACAAGGTCAAGGATGAAAATACCCGAGATACTCAGATGTAAAAAGTTTAGTTATATTATTGATTATCATTGTTTTCAGAACAGTCAGACTCATTTGAAAGGTTATCTGGCACTGAGGGTTTTCCACAGAATTCCAAAACAACATAATATCATTTTGAAAGACCCCTGTGTGAGTTTTATATAACACTCTGTTTATATTAATCCCTTGAATAATATAATTCTCTTCTCCATGTGTCACAGGGTGACTCTGGTGGCCCCCTGAACTGCAGGAACGCTGAAGGTATCTGGGAAGTCCACGGAATTGCCAGTTTTGTCTCTGGTTTGGGCTGTAACTACGAGAAGAAGCCAACTGTCTTCACTCGTGTTTCAGCTTTTGATGACTGGGTCGACCAGGTAATATATACTGCAATCCTGATCAAAGGAAATGTCCAATTAGATAAATGAAACTAGGGAATCTGTACACTTAAAATACTTCAAGTGTGATATCTCTTGTCCGTGACAAGTAAATTACAAAACAAAAATGCAAAGTCTGCAAAGACACTTTAAATATAAGAATTATCTGCAATAATTTAATTTGCTATCTTAAAATAGGAGGTTTCAAAATACCCAAATTACTATTTGTTTTTTTAGCTATAAATTGTGCACTCCCTCTACTTTATGCTTCCTAGTTTTTGTCTTATGTTACAGGAACCAGTTTTTAAATATTTGTTTTGTTTTTTTTTTCAGATCATGAGGAACAACTGAAATCAGCCTGAGATAACTGTCTCTGTCTGTGCAATAAACACCTGCAAATCAACATTTACCTCTGAGTGTTTTTTTTTTTACCAGCTGTGGAAAAAACAGTGTGCAATGATTAGGAAGGGAAAAAAATAAAACTCCATACTAATTTCTGAAAAATCTTATGCAGTTAGAGCAGAGAAATGTAATTTCTTTGGTAAAATGAGTGTCTGCTTTCACCCTTGACATTTTTATTCCCAGAGTTAATGGCATGATTAAAACCTTACCATTACTATTAATTGTTGCTGCCAGAAAAAATCTACTGTTTTATTATTGAACTCCTGGTGTTCACATGAACTTTCAATGATAGTGAAGAACAAACAAAATATGGTTATTTCCGTGCACTTTAATATAACAATTAAAGATGTTTGAGAGGTGGCTGACACATCTGTGCTTAATTGTACAATTTAAAATGTAGTACTTTTAACTGGAAAAAAGTAATGCAATAAAATGACCAATTAAGATTCTCTGAGGGGATCTGGTCAATAAAAATTGTTCAATCTCAAATAAATTAAGTCTTAAAAATAATCATACATCTGAAGTTCAAATTTTCAAATACATTATTATGCAATGGATAACGAATAAACATATTAATTTTCTGTTTTATAATGAATTTTGGTGAACTTTGACATTATAGTGTTTTGGGTCAATCAATAAAACAATTCAATATATTATGATTTCATATCGTAAAACAATAAAATGTGACAAAGTCAGGGCGGTGTGAATATTTTGATAGCCACTGTATCATTTTAACAACATTTACATCTAACAGGAACCTAGCTTAATATATTTGTACACAAATATAATAATTCTTCAGGGCACCTTTAGACAAGGCAAATGAGATTCTGCTTTTATTCAAGGGTTTAAGTCTTTATATTGATTTCAGTTAATTATAGCAAGCTACTGTATGCTTCACTTTAACATACTGTCTTACAAATGGAGTCTACTGTCTCTTTTCTGCAGCTTGTGTCTCACCCACTATTAATGTTCAAGCACAAACAGGGAAAATCAAACAACACCGTTCAAAGCTTATATTGCAGTCAGTCACAGAGATTAACTCTGTCACTTTGGAAAACTAAAATATTAGACACTAGACATTTATTTTTTTATAAAATGTGTTTCCAGATACATGTCAATTCTTACAAAAGTCCATTAGCTCCAAGAATATTGATGTGTGTCGTGCAAATTATAAAATTGACTAAATCTTTTTTAATAGCTAGGTGTCAAAATATGTCATTGCATCTCACTTGAAAAAGAAAAGATAACAGGTTGTGCAGTCTGAGACAGGGTAAAGCTACAGTATATGAACGATTATGTGTACATGATAGCTGTATGGTAATGTGAAGGTTTATTATTTTACTGTAAGAATTAGAAATTGGAACAAAAAAGTGAGAGAATGATTTGATGACTGTTACTGTAGGAATCAATCAATCACACATGGATTCTAAATATACAATATACATCAAAAGATGCATAACACACCAAAAAGAGTAATACAGTCTGTTGTGATATGAAAGGCTCTTTCTCTCAGGGTTAAAATATAACATGTAACAAAATAATGGGATATGGTCTATGCTATAGGTTTTATCCATCTCATGTAGATACTGTAAATCATATTCATATTTTCAGATGCAAGCAAAAATGCATTTACTATTGTGAACTAAACTATAAAAACCTGTTTGGAAAAAAATTGTTCAACCCTCAATAATTATAGTCTGAGTAAAAAAGCTTCATACTCAAAGATCTGTTGGCAGAATGTTCCTTGACAAGTTTAAATGTCCCACTGGAAACATTGGAGTTGTGCTGGCTTAAAATCGTCTGATTTGGCAGTGGCTTGCTGTGTGCTGGAAGAGTCCCAGTGCTGAGAGAGAGCATTGCTGAGGACAGCTCTGCAAGGAAGTTAGTGTTGCACTGAAGGTTGGTCTTAAAAACACTGTATCTGTGCACAGTCATCTGCTTGGGTGCAGCCTCAAGTGAGAGGAGTGGGGAAAAACCCAGTCCATTCCTGCTATAGCTTTTTACTGAATGTATTTGGATATATTTGGAAATACATTTTGTTGATCAGGTGTATATAACAGTGGGTCTGTGAAACACAAGATTTCTGCTGTTGCAGGAATAATACCTTGGGTGACGTTCTGTTCTTCATTGACTGGCCTGGCATCTTGGAGAAAAGTTTAAGCCCTGAACCAAACTGCTGGCATCCCTGTGGTTGTTAGACTCACATTTGCCATGTTCAGTTGGAGACAGCAGAGAAGTCAATGGATCAACCAACAGAAATTAGTTGGGTGCTATCTTTTAAGGTACGAAATTACAATTGATGATTGGTTAGGATTTTATCAGGTATAATCCTGGTACCCACCCTGCAGATCCCTTGTTGTGTGATAATCCTTTAGAGAGATGAACAGGGACCTATCAAGGATAGCAGATTGTTTGGAGCTAAGCTGCACCATGCTGTATATCATTATGGAGGTTCAGCACAGCTTCAAGATGTCCTGGTCTGTGTTCCAGACCTGCAAGTGTTTTTATCAGATGGGCTTTGCTTAGTTGGAAATCTTTAGTAACATTTAATTCTAAGTGTAATAATATAGCTTGCTGCTACAGTTGCTTTTAGTTCTATAGTCAATGGAATTGTATTGCATAATTTTATTGGTATGTACAGTATTATACAAAAAAAAAAACGGGTCTGAGGCCTGAAGGCAAATCATTAGGAATATTACTGTGAAGACTCAAAGGTGATTTTGTGTAAGCAGTAAATTTCCTGGTCTATTTGAGGCAATAAACTATGGCTTCCCAGCCCTGGTCATTACTTATCTAATTGAACCTTTAGTTGAATTAGTGCTCTGCTTAATTAGATCTTTCTTAAGCTCATAAACTTTGGAGTTTCCAAGTTATTAACAAAACTGCATATGCAATTGGTGGAGAGGTCAAACACCTGTAATGCCACTGGGAAGCTAAACTGCATGTTAAAATTCTGATTCTGTAGCTGTTTCTTTTTCTTTTGCCTTGACACAGACATTCTCTGGTTTGTTTGCCAAACTATGCTGTATGGGTATGCTTAGTGACAGGGGTATTGATTTAGTATCACAGCCAAAGCAGTGCTCAAAGATCAGAACACAGTCTGAAGGGAATGACCTAAGCATGCAGACTTAGCATCAATAGCGTTAATCCCAAATTGCTTGATTCAGTTAAGTAAAAATGAAGAAAAGGACATTTCACATTCAATTGCTAATCTATTTTTAGATACTGTAATGCATCATGTCTCCCTTGAGAAATTATTTGGAGGGAGAGTACAGGCTCTTATCCCTTCTTTTGAGTGTTTATTAATATTAAGAAGGTAAGAACATTATTAACTAAGAACTGCTCATTTTTATAGTTAGTGGTTAATAGATATGAGGATCTCTTCCAGCCTTTTCCTGAAATAAACCATTAACAGCATACAGTAGCTGGGTGCTTTGTTCTGCACTCCCACAACTCTCAGGTATGTGGTGAAAGCGATATTAGAGACGAATTACCTTAGGACTAAATAAGCCCTAAAAGGCTAAATACTTGTAAACTATAGTTTTCACTGACATTGGTCAAATGTAAGTTTTATTCGACTCAAAAAGAATTTCATGAATTTATCATTCCAGAATAAACCACTAGATGCCCCTAAACACTCATAGTAAAATCTAAGGGAAATTTCCCAACAGGGAACAGTAAGTGTTATATTAGTTTTGCAAAATTGTGTACCATTTCTTCTCAGCTTTAAAAGTACACTAAAGCATTTTAGAATTTACAGTTTCTTAATTTTTACAGAATATCTACTTCACATAAAAAAACCTTCTAATTTAACAAATATTTTATGCCAGTAGTACCGAAATACTCTGAGATGATTGAAATGCACTTATTTATCAGCAGACACAGGAAGAGTCAGAGACTCCCCTGTGTGGCGTGTAAAGTTTGGGAGCAGTCAATCCACTGTATTAGAGACAGTAATACACACAACATCTGGTGCATCCTGCCCATCCAGTGTTTTCTCCTACTGTAGGTTCTACAGTACATGGCTGGTTGTGTCAGAAAACTCTCTGTGCAGATCGGAGAACATAGGTTGTTCTTAGCTTAGCTCTTTAGGGATGTCACTGACATTTCTGTCTTACCTGTAGGTGGGTACCCAGTAATATATACAGAATAGCACCCATCAGTGGTCAGGTTGGTGCACTCCATCTAGGTTCTGTTCAGGGTGATGAACATTTGGGAATACTATACTGTACTTGTTGCAGACAATCATTTAGAGAGCAATTTGCAAACACATTAGTTGCAGAGAACTTAAGGATTGCTCTGTTTCCCCCCAAATATAAAATTGATATATACTATTCAATTAGTATGTTTTATATTATTATATAGAATATACTGTTTGTAACCTTAATACAAGCAATAAAAATAGACTGAGACGCATAGTGGAGGTAACCAGCAAAATTATTGCTGCACAACATCTACAGCTGTCAGACATCTACGTCAAACTAATGGTCTGGAAGGCCAATATAATCATTGACTGTCACGACCACCCCTTGCAGTGAATTTGAGCTCCTTCTGTCTGGGTGTCGATTAAGACTACCAAGATTCAAGTGCAATAGACCTAAGTTATCCTTTATTCCAACAGCCACTAACCTGCTCATTTTGGAAATTGAACGTATATTTTTGTTTATGTATTTACAGTATATAGATTCTTTTTTTAATACATGTATGTTTATTATTTGTGAATGGGTTCATCTTGTGTTACATGTATTTGTGTGTTGTATTATGTCTTTTACCTGCCAGCAAAGCACATTTCTGTCTGTTACACTCCTGCCTACTTGAATTGAGAGAAAACACGTCGAAACATGGTTTTAAACATCATGGTTATAGATAAGGAAAAGACCAAATTTACACAGAAGGTTTGTGTATAGGAATGTACTGTATAAAAATGAGTTTGTTCTGCTTTTGTTTCATTGTACTATTTAAATACAGGGAACAAACTGCAAAATAAAGCTCACCCCACAA